GACTAAATTAAACATACATGATTGATTATCACTGTTCCATCAAATATATCAGAGAAATGACTGTCGAGTAGTGTTCACTCCCCATCACCAAGGCTAGGGAGCATCCTGGTGAAAACCTATTAAAAATAACATCAATCCATTAGAAATATTAACCACTTCCCACCCACCCGCAACGTACTGCAGCAGGGCAGCAGCTACAAGCAAAGTGACATACCCGTATGCCGCTCTGGCTCCCCCCTCGTGACTGCTTTGTCTAGCAGAATGAAGAACCTGGTGAAAGGGACCCAGTGATCATGTGATTGCTATGCGATCACATAATCACAGTGTAAGTAAAGCTGTTATGAATCAATCTCATTCATAACAGCTCTGCTCCTCTTCCCTTCTAGTGAGCTGTGATTGGCCCACAGCTGTCACATGATACATGGGGCCAATCACAGCACCCTGTTCCAAGTTACCAGCTCCAGCCAATCACAGATCATTATCCTGAGCTGTCAAAACTTAACTCATCCATGACAGTTCATGAATGAGTTAGGTTCATAACGGCAAGCTTTGCATTGCAGCAGAAATTATCTTTATTTCTTCTGTAAAGCAAAGTGTAAAAAAAAAAAAAAAAAATCCCTGATCACCCCCATACATACAGTAGTACAATGTTCTATGGTAACATTGTACTATTCTGATAAAAAAAGTTTAAAAAGTAAATTTTGTGGGCGAGCAGCAGCTCTTGGCAAAATGCCGTCATTTTGTGTCACTTCTTATTTTGGGGTGTGAACGCACCTGCTCCCCTTGCTGCCCCCCCCACCCGTCGGTCCAGGGAGAGAAGAGAGAACACTTCACCAAGTAAAAACTCTACATTTTACACACACACGCCTTAGATTAGCACATTTAACCCTTTGATCGCCCCTATTAACCCTTTGATCACCCCGTCACCCAACCAGTACCATTAGTACAGTGTCAGTATATAGAATTTTTCACTGATCACTGTATTACTGCCACTAGTGACATCAGATAGTGTCAGGGTCAGTATGCTCCCCACCCAGCCAGGGTCAGCTAGCATTAGATTGCGCACACACTATTGCACTCACACTATAGGTCGCTGATCACTATTACTAGTATAGTGTTTGTACGCATCAAGATATTGATCATGTACAGAACTATACTAGTGCCTCCTTTGTATAGTGTCCCCAAAAATGCAGTGTTAGCAGGATCAGCCCCATTCACTGCCAGCACTAGCGTTTAGCCCCTCTGCTGTTTTTCACGGAAAATTTGTATTGATTGATTGTGGGGCAAGGCAATTTATACGCACAACAATACATGACCGCCCACCCAAATTCAGCTCTTGCCAGACAATTCGCATGGAAACCTATCACGGTTTCTGAATTTAAAACTTTTTTGGGCCTAACCCTCAACATGGGCATTACAGAAAATGAATTGCGGTCATATTGATCCACAGAGCAAATTCATCGTATGCCCATAATCTCTGCTGTTATATGTATGCCCAACATGGACCAACAATGTACTGGTACATCGCTGGACTTTGAGTGGTTATACTGGGATGATGCCTGCAGCTACAGGCATCATCCTGGTATAATTTTTTTTCAGCTGGTGGTTGGCTTTCATGTAAAAGCAATCCTAGTGGCCTATTAGCTGCTGAATTGTTTTCACGAGCAACAGGTAGGGGCATTCCCCCCCCGCTGCTTTTCACAGTTTTCTTGGGGGCTCTACCTGTTCCTGGAGAATCTGAGAATGCAGCCGGCAGTTCCGTGTTGGCTGACCATAGAGCTGATCAGAGACCAGAATGGCTCCTATCATCTCTATAGTCTAAGGAATCGGAAGCTATGAGCATTTCATCACTTCAGTTTCGCAGGATATAAACAGCGCCATTTGCAAATTGGGAAAGCATCTGATCACACTGATCTTAGTGAGATTAGATAATGTAAGGGCAGAGGAGATATCTAGAGTCTGATAGACCCCAGATTTCTCAAAAAAGAATCTATGACCATGCCCATTGAAGTTGTAGGGGATATATGCATTCCCTGTGATAGCATTTAAAGTGATCCAAAAAAAAAAAAAAAAAAAAAATGAAAGGGACAGTGTAAAAATAATAAAAAAATCAAAAAAAAAAAAAAAAAAAGAAAAAACACCCTTGCCCCCCTGCACATGTTTCCCCGTACCGGTATGTAAACAGCAGTTGCACCATGCATGTGAGGTATGGCTGTGAACATCAGATTGAGGGCAGTAATTCTAGCACTAGACCTCCTGTGTAAATATAAATTGGTGACCTGTAAAGGCTTTTAAAGCATCGCCTATCGATAATAAAAAAGTATGTACTTTGTTGCCATTGCATGCGTAATTTTAAAGCATGTCATGTTTAGTATCTATTTACTCAGGAAAACATCATCTTTTATATTTTATCAAACAATTGGGCAATATATTGTATTTTTGTGCATAAAAATTTTAAAAAGTGTATTTTTCCCAAAAGGTTTGCATTTGAAAAATCGCTGTGCAAATACTGTGTGACGTAAAAAAAATTCAACACCCACCATTTTATTCTCTAGGGCCTCTTCTTTAAAAATATATATAATGTTTGGGGGTTCAAAGTAATTTTTTAGCAAAAAAAATGTGCACAAAAAGTGTCAGAAAAGGCTTGGTCTTCAAGAGTGGGTGATGTGTGGCATAAGCTTCTAATGTTATCCCTGAAATGCCAGGATAGTAGAAGCACACCCTCAAATGACCCCTTTTTGGAAAGTAGACACTGCAAGTTATTTGCTAAGACGCATGGTGAGTGTTTTGCGAAGAAAGAAAACAAAAAAAAAATTTTTTTCTTTTGTTTTTTTTTTTTCTTTTTCAAAACTCTGTGACAAAAATGATATCTGTAAAATACTCACCATGCCTCTTATCAAATTCCTTGGGGTGTCTACTTTCCAAAAAGGGGCTTTTTTTTGGGGGGGGGGGGGGTTGATATGAGGAAATATGCCCTTTGAAAGCCCGGAGATGGTCATTGGATTTGGGGGCTTGTATGTAGATAGGCTAAGAAAGAGTCTCTCACATGTGGCATCCCCATACTTGGGAGAAGTAGAAGAATATGTTTTGGGGCGTTATTCCACATATACCCATGGCATGCATGAGCAATATATCATTAAAGTGACAACTTTATATAAAAAAAATTGTCCTATTCAAAACATTTGTGGCAAAAATAAAATGTTCTATAGACTCAACATGCCTCTCTACAAAATCCTTGGGGTGTCTACTTTCCAAAATGGGGTCATTTTTTTTGGGGGGGGGGGGGGGGGGGGGTTGTACTGCCCTGGCATTTTAGCACCTCAAGAAATGTGATAAGCAGTCAGGAAGTAAAAGCTACGTAAATTCCAATATTTATACCATGGTTTGTAGACGCTATAACTTGCATGTAAACCAATTAATATACATGTATTGAGATTTCATTTACCAAAGACATGTAGCAGAATACATTTTAGCCTAAATTTATGACTAACTTTGAGTTTATTGGATATTTTTTTATAACCAAAAGTGAAAAATATTATTTTTTTCAAAAGTTTTGGTCTTTTTTTTTTTGTTTATAGCGCAAAAAATAAAAACCATAGAGGTGATCAAATACCACCAAAAGAAAGCTCTATTTGTGTGCAAAAAAGGACATAAATTTCATTTGAGTACAGCATTGCACAACCGCACAATTACCAGTTGAAATAGCACAGTGCCGAACAGCAAAAAATGGCATGGTCAGGAAGGGGGGTAAATCCTCAGAAGGGCAAGTGGTTAAAAATTGAGCAGAATAAAACACTCTACTCCTACATTTTACAAAATATTCACACTGCAACTATTAAATCCACAGAAATAAAACAAAAAAACTAAAAAGAGAAACAATACAGAAAACTAAATAAAAAATAAACTAAAAAAAAAACCTCGAAAATTTATATAAAAAAATACAGATTAAATACCAAAAAATAAACAAAAAATGAACAAAAATAAACTAAAAGCTTCCAATTAAAGGAAAGGATTTAAGTCAAAATCAGAATTTAACCCCCTAGGGTGCAGTCTGTCCAATTGGGGTGAGGATGTGCTGCTGAGGTGTGGACTAAGAGAAATGTTACTTTCCCTACGTGGATAAAAAAAATATTATGATAAATGAATGAATAAATTAAACTGGGGCCATTAATGTTTCCTTTTTACTTTGTGTTTTCTTTAACTGTATTCTAGATTTATTGGCCTTTTATTAGCTGTAATTTGGTATCTGTACTTTTTTTTTATGTCAAATGAATAAAATTAATAATAAAAGTATTTGTACCCTAGGAACAGAACATGCAATGTAAAGCGGAGCTCCAGTGAAAATGTATAAGAATAATAGCAGCTACAAAAACTGTAGCTGCTGACTTTTAAAAATCCAGTTTCACCAGCCATCCTTTTCCCCCGGCGCCGGCATCTTAAGTGTGGGCACACGGCTCTGACAGCTTGTGGCTTCATAGCCGGGTGCCCACTGCTCATGTGCGAGAAGCTCTGCGCCTTGTGAATGGTCCCATAATCTTCTGGGACCTGTCATGTGTCCCAGAAGACTACGGGGAGGGAGGACAATGTCCGCTTCTGATCATCAATGTGATCGCAGGGGAAGTGGGACGGGTACCTGCTCCGACACATCCCCAAAGGTGTGAATCCTTAACGGGCAGCGGAGGACAAGGCCTTAAGTGGAACTTTCCCTTTTGGACGGAGCTCTGCTTGAAATTGATTTTACCCCTTCCATTTTGTTTAAAGCATTAATGAGAATGTTTTGTTGTTAGGAAAATATTTGAAATGCTGTTGTATACCATTTCTTCCACAATATCTCTCAACTGTTCCTTTTCCCCCTATTTACAGATTGCTGTTTCGGACTGCTGCCCTCTCCAGTCCTTGCGTATTGATTAATGCTTGGAGTGTAATCATTAGTAGCATTAGTTTAGCCTGTTAGCTGACATTTTTATGTAGTGTCTATTTTTCTTTCTGTTTTTACATAGGAATTGGCTCATTAAGAAAAGATTATGGAGATGACAAAACAGATGAGGAAACAGAGGGGGCACAGTCAGAGGATGAAACATATTCTCAGAAGGGACTTCGGAGGACACAGAGCATGAGATCCGTCAAGGTTGTCAAAGGCCGCAAGGAGGTATGCAGTGCATTTTGTTTTGATAAAGTTAAAGTGCACCAAATGTTAGAAAAGCCACTCCAAGCCAAGATTTTCTCAGATTATTGGGGGCTTTCAGTGTGATCAGAAATGGAGGAATACCAGCATATTAGACTTTGCCAAGTTTACCAAGAATGACAGTGTTTGCCACTGGAGATGTGCCTGCATTCTGGTTGTGATCAGGGGCGTATCTACCGCAAGGCAAACAAGGCATTTGCCTAGGGTGGCATTTTTCGGAAGAAGGGACACACAGGTGTGAGCGGTTTTCAGAGCAGGGCAGCTCTGCGGCTCCTGAGTTGATTTTCCTGCAGCTCCACTGGCTCCTCTGGGCTGGACGACTGTCATAGCCAAGCTCCATCTCCCCTGCGGATGGCCAACTCCACTACGGTCCTCCACAGACTGTCTTTCTTTGCCCTCAATCCGTCTCTCTTTTTTCTCTCTTACCCTCTTTTCTGTGATCTGCTTGTTGTGGCAGCTCAACTTCCCACTACATAATCCACCCCCACCCCCTCCTCATCCGTGCAAGTAATAAGAAATCTGGAGCGATGTCAGGGACTAAAGCTGTGCGGAGCTCCACTGACACACACACTGTGCCGGGTAGGCATGGTTGGCTCACTATCTCTACTGCTCTCCAGCTCTAGTAAGGGATTCAATGTGAGTGTGAGCACTGATGTCATGTACAAGTTATATGTGAGTATGAGAATTGGGGGAAGTACAAGGTGTATTTACAAGTTATATGTGAGTGTGAGTCACATTCACATATAACTTGTAAAGCCCCCTCCCAGTGTCGACAGTCACATACACCTTGTACACCCACAGTACTCATACTCACATATAACTTGTAAAGCCCCCTCCCAGTGTCGACAGTCACATACACCTTGTACACCCACAGTACTCATACTCACATATAACTTGTAAAGCCCCTCCAGTGTCGACAGTCACATACACCTTGTACACCCACAGTACTCATACTCACATATAACTTGTAAAGCCCCTCCAGTGTTGACAGTCATATACACCTTGTACACCCCCCCCCCAGTGCTTACACAGTATGAGCACTGGGGATATACATGATGTATGAGTGTCGACACTGGGGGCTTTACAAATTATATGTGAGTGTGAGCACTGGGGGTGTACAAGGTGCATGGAAGTTCAGGCACTGGGGGGGGGTTATAAGATGTATGTTAGTATAGGCACTGAGAAGAGGGGATGTACAAGGTGTATGTGAGTGGGCACTAGAGGGGGCAGCACTGTGGGATATACATAGTAAGTGTAGGCACTGGGAGAGGGGGGTGTACAAGGTGCATGTGAATGTGGGCAGTTTAGGGCCATGGATTTAAAAGGTGCAGTTGACTATGGGGACACTGGGGAGGTCAGTGTACAAGGTGCATGTGAGTGTGGTCATGGTGGGGGGAGCAGGCAAAATATACACGGTGTATCTGCATGTGAGCATAGTTGTACAAGTTAAATGTGAGTAGGGGCACTAGGAGTATGTACAAAGGTGTACATGAGTGCAGGCTCTGGGTGTGTGGGGGCAGAGGATGTGCTTTGGCAGTTGTTACAAGTCGTGCAACAAATTTAGATGGGGGGGGGGGCGATATTGGTCTTGCCTAGGGCAGCACAAAGCCAAAATACACCACTGCTTTTGATCAGTGTTTCTTTGGCCTTATTATTTATTTATATTAAAAAAAATTTCTTTGAATGCAAAGAAGCATTTCTGATATTTGATACCCTTAGATACATAGAGCTGTGGGTTGATTTACTAAAGGCAAATAGACTGTGCACTTGCTTCAGAACTTAGTAAATGAGGGGAAGCTCTGTTGACTTCCATTATCCAATCATGTACAAGCAAAATGCTGTTTTTTTTTGTTTGCTTTTTTAAATTTTCCTTGCATGTAATTGAGTATTCTTTGCAAAGTGAAGCTTTAACTAATTTACTAAGGTCTTGAGCAAAGTTCCCTACACAGTCTATTTGCCTTTTAGTAGATCAACCCCTGTGTGTTGTTGGAATCTTTCAAATGTTGATGTTGCCAACTGTGCATCTCATTGTATGCAGCAAGGTAAAAACCTTCTGTATGCAGCTTCTCCTCTCCTCATTGGCTCAGATACTGCAGCAGGAGCTGTTGAATCCCACTGCAGTCAATTAGAGCCAGCGACAAGGAGGGGGGGATGGGCTGTGTGAGCCCCATTCTGTGTGTCTTATGGACAAAACAAAAGATCCAAATTCTCAGCGTAGAATGGTGGTATAACAACAAGCGCTTTTGACCTCCTTGTGATAGGTCATATTACAGGGTAAGGAATTTGGCTACCTTCTTACACAGCTTTTGTTTAGGGCCAACTTTAGAACCATTCTGTTTGTTTCTCTTTCTCAAGGGGAATTAAACTATTAAGTTCCTATGACTTCTACCCTGGCTGTTCTTAAACTGGCAATACATGGATTTAAATTCAGTTCAGCAGGGATCGGCTAAATTTCGATTCATGTATGGACATCCTGTTTGTACAGAAGTCAATCTATTGATCAACTTCTATACAGCCACCGTGTCTGGTTTTTCCAAATGACCAGTGCACTTGGCTATAGCATGCAACAATGATCGTTGTGTTCTGATGGTGAGGAAGGCTTTCCATTGTGAGAACACAATAAATAGCTCAGTGGGAGTGATTCCTTCATCCACCTCGAATGTGTGGATGGGGGAATCAACACATTTTTTTCGTATATAATGTACAGCATGCCTTAAGCTGACCATACACTAGTACATACAATTTTCATATGAATTTACGTACAAAAATTCTTACTAGAACAAGCTTAGAATGATCTTTCTTGCCATTGAGTCAACTTTTTGTTTGAAAGCCCTTAAAACTTCCTCCAGTTTTGATATTTGAATGTAATCCCAGATGTATTAAACAGGTTCCATAAAAATGTACAATTCTTGTACATTCTGCTCCTCTGAATTTTTTCCTCACCACAGTTGAAAACTAACATTGATTTGATTCCATCAACTATTAGAATATCAAAGGAAATTTTATACGAGATTCTATTAATGTATGGCGAGCTTTAGTATTAACTAACAGATGTTACACTTGATGTAGAGCAGGGGTCTCCAAACATTCTAAACAAAGGGTCAGTTTACTGTCCTTCAGACTTTAGGGGGGGCATACTGTGCCCAATAGTAGTAAACAATGCCCCATCTTTGGTATTAGGGGGAGAAATAGTGCCCATTTTTGGCGTCAGTGGGAGAAATAGTGCCCCACTGTTTGGGTCAGTGGGAGGAATAGTGCCTCATTGTTAGGGTCAGTGGGAGGAATAGTGATCCTTTGTTGGTGTCAGTGGAAGGAATTCTGCCCCATTGTTGGTGTCAGTGGAAGGAACAGTGCCCCATTGTTGGTGTCAGTGGCAGGAATAATGCCTCAAGGGCCAGACAAAGGCAAACAAAGGGCTGCATCTGGCCCCTGGGCCACAGTTTGGAGACCACTGCTGTAGTTTGTTGCAGGAGTGTTTTTTGGGGTGCTTGGTTGTGCATCAGACCCATGTATGACAAAGTCCTATGGCATACTTGAACAGAAAGTAGACAATTAAAAAAGACAATGACATTCACTCATCCAGTACTAGCCTTTTATAAATCACAGCATACATGTTATTTGCTGATTGTTATTGAACAAGGAGTTTTTTCATGTATTTGTATACTTTGTTTTATTAAAATAAGAAATGATACAACAATAATACACAATTTTAGGAATGACTTAGGACAAGGCTGTCATCTGCTAATTTTCCCCCTTTAGACTGCTATTTCATAGCTTGAGCTGGGTGCAGATGGGCATGAGCTGTCCAGGCCTAACCCAATCTGCTGGAAGACGTTTGCTCCTCATTGTATATACCTTAATAAACACAGCTAGTTTCTCTTGGCAGGATTGTTCTATGAACAGCACAATGCAGACCCAGAGCTAGTATGTGTTTTATTAAACTCCAAATGAACTGTGTGCTCTCCCCCTCTCTTTCCTCCATATGTTCATAGAAGAAAGTGTTCCCTGCCAGAAAGCAGAGGCAGAGATGATTCACAGTAATATATTGAAGATAAACTATAGCCAATCTCATGCTATCACAATTATATTGCCTTTTCTGGGAAGGCTTCTAGCAAGCTGTTGTCAGGAGGAAATAGAACACGCATCATTATATTTGTTTTTGACCCTTACTTACTTTTTTTTTCACAAGTCTCTGTACTCCACAACTGCCAAGCTAGTTTTCAGGTATACATGAGCCATCAGCACTAATTATGCTTTGTTAAAGCTTTGCTTTGTAGTATTTGGCAGAATATATCGACAGTGGGGGTTCAGTATTTGGCACTGGAGAGAGAACAAAAAGAAATGCAATTACAATACTTACTAAGTTACCTGATGCATCAAATGTTTTGCAGGAAAATAATACGGTAATAGCTTTTTAGAGATTTTAGGTAGAGTGTATGGGTACTTGTTTGTAGAATTATTTTATAATATAATATATTTTCCAGTAAGGATTTCAGGGTTTTATATTTCTTGCCTAGGGATGCAAGTAAGTGTACCCTGGCTTTCTCACAGTCGTTGGGTATAGCCTGGCCAGTCTGCCACAGCTACATGTTTTGTTGGTTGGGGTTAGTTTGCATGGTGCTACCTCTGCCTACCATACTCGTAGGTCTGTTCTTACCACTAGAGGTTGGTCACACTACAGCTCATACAAATGCTCTTTGGGACTTGCTCCTTTATTGTATATAGAGTCAAGATGGAAAGAGATTTCTTACAATGATCTTCTTTTTATTAAGGGGTCCATCCAACCAACCAAAACTGGTATTTTAGTTTTAGGTATATAGTGAAGAGTTATTTTCACTAGTGTAGGGGAAGGGTTGCAAAGTCAGATTTTACTGCTGTCTTTGTCCTCATGAGAGAGGTTTCTCGCAATTTCCTGTACTAAAGACATGACAGGAAGTAAGTGGAAATGTTACCAAAAATGAACAAATCACACCTTTGGCAGTTCCACCAGGTCAGATGTTCAGATTGTTAGATATTCCCTTTTTGTTCTGATTACAGTCATATTATTTTGGATTTTGGATTTCACC